GTTGCTCGTGGCCTACTATCAGATTTTCATGGCCCCAGCTATTATTATTCACAATTTTCTTCTCATTTTGTTATATAATTAACTTATTTCCGAGAAAAATAATACATACCTACATTCTTTATTAATATTATAGTTAGAAAACATATTTATTTATTTATTTATTTATGTAATTCTAATGTTTTGGGTAATTCTGCAAACTAGGTTGTTTGGTCCAGGCCTGGTGCAACTGTTTACCCTGTGTTGTGAGGACACGCAGTGTGGAGAGAGGATTTACCTCACCTCAGCCATCACCTGTCACTTCTACCGTCCACGGGGGCAAGTGAGGAGGCTACCTCACCTGTCACTTCTACCCTCCGCGGGGACAAGTGAGGAGGCTGCCTCACCTGTCACTTCTACCCTCCACGGAGGCAACCTCACCTGTCACTTCTACCCTCCACGGAGGCAACCTCACCTGTCACTTCTACCCTCCACGGAGGCAACCTCACCTGTCACTTCTACCCTCCACGGGGACAAGTGAGGTGGCTGCCTCACCTGTCACTTCTACCCTTCACGGAGGCTACCTCACCTGTCACTTCTACCCTCCACGGAGGCAACCTCACCTGTCACTTCTACCCTCCACGGGGACAAGTGAGGTGGCTGCCTCACCTGTCACTTCTACCCTTCACGGAGGCTACCTCACCTGTCACTTCTACCCTCCACGGAGGCAACCTCACCTGTCACTTCTACCCTCCACGGGGACAAGTGAGGTGGCTGCCTCACCTGTCACTTCTACCCTTCACGGAGGCTACCTCACCTGTCACTTCTACCCTCCACGGGGACGCAAAGCATTATTGTCCCCTAACTCCCCTGGCCACTTGGGGGGGGGGGGGGTATAGGGTGTTTATGTAGCTTCAGGGGCACCAATCCCCCCAGCCACAGGGCATGGCGAGAAGGCACCCCTAAGCATACCTAATGCCCTATCAAAACACAAAATTAAATACACATAAATGGCAAATCTCATCACAACCCACAAGAGTTAAGATGATACTAATAACACACAATAATAACCGGAAAAACAAACAAACATTAAATGGAAAATTCTTTTGTATTTGGTTTTTTCTTATATGGGACACAGCACACAAAGGGAGAGGTGCACAGTATATCATTAAAAAAGAACTAAAACTGAAGACAAAACAGCAAGCTGCCTAAGCGGCAGGATTGGTGACTTGACATCGGCATACATGGAAAAATACTATTCATAGTGGAAGCTCCTAACAAGGCCCCGGAGCGGGAGGGATATCATGTATGTGCATGGGGGTCCCTCCGGCCGCTGCCTTACCCACTCGTGGGCTCCGGCCAGGTCATCCACCCTCTTGTGAGACACCATTAGGAGAAGTGGAACACCAGATGACGACTCTGCTTAGATAGTTGGCTACCAGCTATCCTGGCTGCGGTTCACCTAAGCGAGACTATATTAACCCATATGCACCCTGTGCACAGTGATCCTGGGACTAAGGTGGTCTGCCCCCTAGATGTGGTCTTGGACCTTATTCTGTAAATGGAAGATGTCCAGGTCAGGGCCTTCACAGAACAAATCTCAAGGTCGCTCTTGGTGAGACCCATGTCCAGTAGACCACGCGCGCACTCCTTGCACCATCCTTCCCCCCAATTAAGGGTTATTGAAGAGGCGGATGCTGTGTGCTTCCCGGTATATTCCCTGACCTTTTGAAGGATCTCTGGGGTGCCGTACTTGTCGCACTTGCTCTGATGTGGACGGGAGAGTGGGAAGTTATCAGCAGAGACCTGGGTGTCTAATATAAAGGCCTCATTACCTTTGCAAGCTATGATGTCGGGCTTACAGAAGGTCCCTCCATCCGGTATACGAACTTCGCGTTCCACCTCGAAACCTCTTTGCCGCAGGCGGCCAGCTACGAACCGGGTGATATCGTCATGACGTTTCACCCGAGCCCCGTGTGTCTTGTGGCATGCCTGGGATATGTGGCCCAAGGTCCCTGGTTTCTGGCAAGCATCGCAGACACCAGAAGCCTCGGGTCTACCCCTAGCTGCTCTAGACGGCGTGGCTACAGCGTTTGCCCTAATCTGAATGGCGTGAGCAAAATCTCCTCCGCTTAGCAGACGGGTACCGGATGCGACCCACTTGTGGCAAGATGGAACCTCACAAGAGGACGCGAGGCCGGCACCGTCGACCATGCTGTACAGTTTTGCTTTCCACTTTCTAGAGCGCTCAGTCGTTCTGTTAGAAGGGGTTCCGGTGGCCGTGGTCGGGTCTACTCATTGACGCATTCGCGCTTGGAACGCGGGTAGGAGAGCCGCTGCCACTACCACCGGATCCTCCGACTCTACTAAAGCCCCGAGCCGCTTGTTCTTTTGTAGGCGGATTGATGCGGCAAAGTCGGGTATTCCTAGTCCACCGTCCTTCACGTTGGCATGAAAATAGCCGTTAGAAGTATCATGAGGCAGCCGCAGCCAGCCACGGGTGGCATGTCGCAGCCGCCGGTGAAGCCTCGCTAACTCCGTCTTACACACGTGTCTGAGAACAAGGCGGTGGTTCATCTTGGGAATCAGGTGGTGCTTTAGTAGGTATAGCCTCTGTTGGGGTTTGAGTGGCGTCTTAGTGATGTTAGTCAGGCCGTCCTCAAACAGGGAACCATAGGATAAGCGTCTGCCCCCGGCCCCGATAAGTATCCCTAAGTACTTATACTCGTCCGCCACACTCATAGTACCGATTGCATCGTCCCCGACGTAGTATGCCTTCCTGGTGGGGATATGCCACGTCTTACGATATGCATCGATCGCTATGCTTAGCGTACGGCATTTCGCAGCATTTACTTTAAGACCAGAGCCACGCAGTATGTGGCAAATTCTTGTTATGAGTGTCTGTAATCCGGCAACCGTTTCTGCTGCCACAACCAGATTGTCAGCGAATGCCAGTGCTGATGTCTTTTCGCCTCCCAGACCATCCCCTAGCCCCAAGTCCTTAGCCCTAGTAATTGCCTCATCAATTATTAGGTTGAAAAGAAATGGAGACAGTGGGGTCACCCTGTTTCACCCCCTAGTGATCAGGATGTCTTTTGACTTCTCCCCTTGACTGGTTATTACGGTTGAGGACCGATCATAGCCCGACATTATATATGTCCTTAAAGGCTTTGGAATGCCTTTACGTTTCATGGCCCGATGGATGGCCGGATGGGAGACGCTATCGAAAGCCTTCTCCATATCCAGAAACGCCAGGTGCGTGTTGTGCTTGAGCGAACGAGCCTCAGCAAGGAAGGCATCCAGGATCATCAGGTTTTCAGGGCATCCGCCCACGGGGACGAAAGCCTTCTGCCGCCTGTCGATCCTGACTGCCTGGGTTTGTGACATAAACCCCGGAACTCTTCGTGTCCCCGGCCAAAAATATAAGCTGGAATCCTGCTTTAATAATAATAATATTTTATTCATACAATATACAATTTAGAGTCCCGATAGTACAGTCGGGTTCATTCTCGACACAATCGAGAATTCCGGGTTCGAATCTCGGGCGGGACAGAAATGGTTGGGCACATTTCCTTTAGGCATGCCTAGCAGCAAGTAGGGTACGCCTAGCAGCAAGTAGGTACCCGGGAGATAGTCAACATGTTGTGATGTGGCATCCGGGCGGAGTCAGTAATTCAGCCTTTTGCGAGGGGGGGGGGAACCTCGATAAAAGCTTAATTAATGCGTAAATGCACTCTGGCTGCCTGTCACATTCTTTATTTATAATTACAATGAATTATTATAATTACTATTATTGATACATTCGAGATGTTAAAGTGATTTTATACTAGGTAAAGTAATTGTTTATGTAAAGCCACTATAGTTACGCTACAGGATGTAGCGTAATAATACGGGTAGTTATACGTAATTATACGTATACTACAGGGTAGTCATTTATACTCTAAGTAACCATGTAGTCATTTACTTCGTTTTGAGATGCTGAGATATCATTTGCAACGTATGTGCCAACTGATGAGAAGAAACTGTTGAATTTAGTAGCAGTGATAATGGCAAAAGATAAGTACATTATAGGCCATTGTTCATAACCTTTCTCTACAGGACTAAATGCATACAAACTCCAAAATCCTGACTTACCACCCACAGCAAACAGAGAAAGTGAGAGCAAGTTACCCGGGAGCACGCAAGAGCAATAAAATGAGTACACGCTTTTTCACTTTGGTCACCTCAATTCTCATCCTAGGTCTTTCATTTTGGTATCATGTTCACAATAGAATTCCCAACAGGAGTATATGCATATAATATAAAAAACTGCAGTGTGCTTCACCCGCCGACAAGATGAAAGAGTGCTGCGCCACCCCAAGGCTCCTCTCATTACATTAGTGTGTGGGGTAATACTGAAAAGTGTATACTCCTTTCAACTTTGTCACCTCAATTCTCGTCCTAGGATTTTCAATTTAGTATCATTGTATTTGAAATAGAATTCTCTACGGGACTAAATGCATATAAAGCCCAAAAGCCCTGTCAGAAAGTGAGAAAGTGAGAGCGTGTTACCCGGAAGCGCACAAGATCAATAAAATGTGTACATTCTCTTCACTTTGGACATCTCAATTCTTGTCCTAGGTCTTTCATTTTGGTATCAATGTATTTGCAATGAAATTCCCTACAGGAGTACAGTATATGCATATAATGTCCAAAAACCACGGCAATACATTCCCGAAAATGCCGCTACGTTGCCAAACCGACGACTCAATGCTGAGTCCTTACCAAACATCCCTCTATTTAATGGAGAACTCTATGCTGAGTTCGTACTGAGCGAAAGTGTTAAGCTTTTCTGCCCTCATAGTGGAACTTTGAGTAATATCTAGGAACATTTTAATATTTTATGACAGTGCTTTAGTTTTATAGGTTTAGCACCTTTTGATAATTACATGCATGACTTTCATGATTTTACAACACCAGTGTTTCACACCACCTGTTTCTAAGTAGAACAAAGTAGGAAGTGATAAATTTTAAGAAAATGCACATCACATTAAGCATTTATTTGAAAACTTGATAAGTGACCACAATGTTCGGAGCTACTTTGTCTTGAATTTAGCCCAGGACTGGGATGAGGCCCAGGAAATACCTCAGGACAGGCCTCTCTTCCCATCTCCTAGTCCTATGCCAGCCTAAATCAAGACCAAACCAAAAAAGAATGAAGATAACAATTGTTGGCCAGAGAGTAATCTAGGAATAGGTGCTAAGGCATTATCATATTTCTTCATCCACTTATGACCATGAGGGAAATAAACACAGTGGAAGCTGATTTCTTCTATAATTAGGGTAACAATATACTAGTACTTATCTTTGTCTAAATCATATTGAGACCCCATTTATATCATTAAATCACCAATCTCACTACTAATTTTGTGGGTGACAAATTAATTAAGTGGAAATATCATAGCTATCTTACATTCAACATGCCCATAACTGGATGTTTCATAAGCCACAATATAACATTCTACCAGTCTAAGAGCCTGAATATTAAAATGATTATATAGCTTCTATTGAAACCTTGGTCTCCTATTTCATCCCGTGGCTACAGATTTAGTCATAATACATGACATGTCCTCAGCATTAAGTATTCTTAATAATAATAATAATCAGTGTCATACTAGGATGAAACACGCCACATCACAAGGGGGAACGTTACTTAACCTAAAACACCTTGACAGCTCAAATAGGGTGTGTGCACCTTTACAAATGTGTGATTATTTGTGGACATCTTTCAAAATCACTTTCATAGAAATCATACAATCAGATTACATTTGGATTTGACTTTTCTTTGACAACATTATGATTTTATTACAATAAAAGGTCACAAGCATTAAAATTTCTCACTCATAACATTAAAAAAATCATGTATTTCTCATTGTATCGGTCCTGACTAGATCCTTTGACAACCGATATGTCACTAGCTGCTGCATAATCACTGACCCTCAATAAATTTCCTATTCTTTCTCTAAGACAGCATTCTCCAGATGAGATAAAATGTAAGTAAGATGGACTACATATGTAACGATAAAGCCATCTATTATGTGGCTGAAGAGCTTATCAATGATGAGCATGAAAATATATGAGACCTCTCAATAAAATTCTTGATGGGAGTGTCAGAGCACTAGAAGAAAGAGTAAGGATTTTTTTTTTTTTTGGTGATAGTGGAGGAGAATTGGTGATGGCAGTTTTAATGGTAGGCAGGAAGGCAGGTGGACAGATAAGGAGGACTGAGAGGAATATGCTTTTCCTCTTTACAAAGTATTCCTTCTCAATGTCCTCCTTAGTATTCTTCAAAGATTTCTTCCTTTACTTCCCCATCCTCTCCTTGTGTCCTTCTGATGATCCTGCGAGTGAAGAAAATATAATTAAGTCGCTATGAATGCAGAGCTAACAAAATGCCCCGATTCTTCATAATAATAAAAAAGGCGATTATCAAATAAATTATCCACACTTTAAGACCTTAAGTTTAAACTAATAAGGCTCTAATAAAACTAACCAAAAAAGGAACCTAAAGCATACTGTAATGCCATAACAAAATGCAATTCCACTATTTTTGTTAATCAATTACTGTACAAATGTGAAGTGTCTCCAGCACTCTGCATAACCTTGTGGAATTTTATTTAATACATATTGGTTTTATGAAACTGGGGAGTTTGAGTAGATGCAATCAAGCATGAGAGGAGGAGAGTAAACTACTTACATTTAATTATTCCATTCATGCATTTAAAAATTAAATTTCAGTTCTTAAAAAACATACCTTTGAAATTTGTTCTCCAGCCAAAGCTAAGGTAAAACCTACAGGATTTTCCCTCACTAATTTATACATCACACAAATTTCCAGACAAAGTCTTTTATGAACTTACGACAAAATGTTTGAAAAAGGAAATGGAGCTGAGCATCCAAAATCAAGAAAGTTTAACCAAGAGACTCAGAATCCAATTATCAAAAGAATCCATGAAGTCCTGAAGATTATAAAGCACCACCTGTGTCACACAATTTGTAGAAGTTCCTACAAATCATACAGGATGCCAAAATAAGAGCAAAACCAAGTACTGAATGTAATAAAATGCTCTCTCTTTGGGTGGGCCTTGGTGGCTAATGTCACAAATGAGTGACATTATTCCTAGTAGTCTTCAATTGCCTACTGGAGACCAGAGGCCAAAACCTGGCCCGCCTCAGAGGTTCAGAGAGCAGGGGATTCAAACAATCACCTCACTGACAAAACACAGAAAGGATGCTAAGAAAAGCCAACAACTGTTGGGTTCACAAGAAAAAAGGAAATGAAGCAGCAAATGACTCTGTAAACGATCCTCCTAGTTGTTAGATTTTACCCCCCCCCCCACCTTAGAGCTGGCCACTACCAGGTTGCAGTACCACTGGAAACTGCTGGCTACTAATGCTAAAAATCCTCAGTCCAGAGCCAATGAAAACAAGCTGACACACCTGGTTCAGGGAAGGGGAAGAGAACCTGGGAAGTTCATAAGTCTCATCTAGTAAGAGGTGTTTCATTATATTCAATGCTGGTTTTCTGGAGAGGCCAAATGGTGGCTCCCTATAGCTAACCACAGGGAAAAATATATCAGAACTTACCACAGAGAGAGAAGATCAAAGCTCTGAAGGCAGAGACCAGGACAGGAAAGCCTACCCAGAGCAACACAAGCCCGACAGGGACCAAAGACATTGACCAGGTAACGAGCCACCAGGACCCTGTCAGACCTCCAAAGCCCCCAGAGGACTAATATCAATCCAAGACATATTAGAAAATACAGTAGTCAAAGCAACAAACTTTCAAACAACATGGGCCCAAGGATCTTCTTGAGGTTATCTTGAGATTATTTCGGGGTTTAGCGTCCCTGCGGCATGGTCCTCGACCAGGCCTCCTTTTTGTTACACTCCCCCCAGGAAGCAGCCTGTAGCAGTTGTCTAACTCCCAGGTACCTATTTACTGCTAGGTAACAGGGGCATCAGGGTGAAAAACATTTTGCCCATTTGTCTCTGCCTTCACCAGGGATCGAACCCAGAACCTCAGGACTACGAATCCGAAGCGCTGTCCACTTAGCAGTCAGGCGCCCGAGGATAGACCATATGCTGGCTAGATTTAATGACACTGGATGACCTAAGATAAATGTGCCTTGGAATAGAGGGCCAAGGAGGAGAAAGAAAAGAAACACTATCCAGAGACCAAGACGACTCAGAAGGAGAATGAGTAAGCAGGAGGTGAAGAATGCATTAGACAACAAATAACATGGCACTGAATAAGTATTGAAAGCCAATAAGAGCCAAAGGATGGGGCAACAGTAATTGGCCTAAGATGCTGAACAACAAACAACCAAGACAAAAAGACAAAACCACCAGAATTTAGACAAACCATGAAAGCAAAAAGAGACATAGACACAAAGAAAGTACATACTGCCACCACGATAAAAGATGCAGACAATGCCAATTACATGGCACCTGTGCTACATACAAATTGTGATACACTCATGTGAAAAACTCCAGATGTAAAAACCGAAGTAGAAACCCGAACCAGCAAGAAACATCTAACTGATCTGTTGAAAAAGGGTGGACCAAATGAAAAGTGCCTGGGTTCAGATACCAGGCCAGAAGAAATGGAAACTAAAGCTGAGCTGGCCACCAAGAAGACCATCATCCCGGATCACCCTGCCTGTATTTATGTCTCTAGTCTGGACAAAATGTGGACCAATAGATTGCCTCCAGTGGTCTGGACCACTGGAGGCAAGAGACAAATGAAGCCCAACTGCAACCATTCCGGCCAAAATGTATCCACCATGAGAGTTTCATGATCGGGAAATGAAGCCACATAGAACAGAAACTGCCAGTTCCAAGACTATGTGAAAAAGTCCACCTCAGGTCGATTGAATGGTTTGGAGAGCCAATCGAAGTCTGATTGTTGATGGTCCATTCTGTGAAAATGGGAAAGAAATGAGAGACTGTCTGTGAGAACATTGAACACACCTTGCATGTTAACCACTCAGAGAACCCAAACCCAAAAATCCAGATAAGCTATGCATGGAGTCCTGCTCCAAACATGAAAAAACAGAAGCAACCCCTCCCTGCCAGTAATTCAGACAATAAACCATTGGGGAGCTGTTGGAATGGCCCCAAAGAATAGAACCTGGACTAAGGCAAATTCTCCACAGGCCTGCCACACTGCCATAAACTTGCACACCATATTGTGTGCCTGAAGGAGGGGGGACCTGTCTAACAACCCTAAAGATTGGACAGGCTTTTGTGATTGCTGGTCACAGAAACCTCAACCCAGGGCCAAGGCATCTGTACATACACATCAAACAACAGAGGGGAAGGTGCCACGTGATTGAACCCTGAAACACACAAAAAACCAACTGAAGGGTAAATGTAGCTCACAACCAATGATTCTGGTGGTGTGGAAAAAAGGTGCTACCGGAGGAACCAGAACGCTACCCAGAACCGTACCAGATGGAAATGGGGAAGAAGAGGCAAACCTTGAACATGTGGAATTCATCAGCTGCTCCAAATCCAAATCCCTTAGTACCACTAGGGCCAACTTTTGGGGCATCCACGCTAGTACACAGCAGCATTCAATGGATATGGGAGAAACACAGCAATAATGTAGCTGCTGCCTAATAGGCTTCTTATCTATAAGAAGGCTATGCTAGAATAGAGATCCAGCAAATGCAAATGCTACGGGCATCATCATAGAAGGTATCACCCATTCTGTCCTCTGGGAAAACACCAGGGGCAGGATAGAGCCTCAAAAGGGAACCCCCCATGAAAGAGAGAAGTAGCAACTAAATACCTACCCTAAACCCGCACAAGCCCCATATGGACCAGGAATGTTCATCAAGGAATGAGCTGCCAGCATCATCATAGGACCACCAATACCACAGGACCCAAAGATTATATCAGACATAATAAAAAATTCTGTGGAAAGGGCTGTAAACTTATGAACAAATTCGGCCTGTGAGTAGACCTCAAACTGGCTAAGCATGATGACACTACAGTTGACCCAAGACAAACAGGTCCCAGGGCACAAGGGACCATGGACATAAGACCAACATAAAGAGCATTTACCCCTCCACACCACTAGAGGTGCAGAGGAAATGGTGAATAGCCGCAACACTCAACAAATGATGCACCCATGGCTGAACCAACCAGGCATCAATCACCAAAAAACACCTCCAGAACACAGCTATTTCAATCATAACCAGAAAGGAAGGAGAGGACTGGAAACAAAGGAAATTTCCATCAGGACCAAAAGAACAAAATTGAGCATAGAAGATGCAATCCCAGACAAAGGGGCAACAGAAAACTGAGGGGCGGAGAGAAAATAAAAATCCCTGTTCGAAGACTAGAAAGGCTTGGGAGGAGAATGAACAAGCCAGAGGTGCAAAATACCCAAGACAGATAACAAAATCAAACTGATGAATTGTCACCACTGAATGCTATCACCAACAGCACAATCTTTGCCAAGATCGAACACCATGAAGTGACAATAACTGGCATGAGAAGGAACCACAAAACCTAGCATTGAATGTAATGAAATGCCAATTTTTTTATGAGCCTCCGATGGCTTCCTGAAACTAATATATGCTGAGATGGTACCATCTACTAGGTCACATCAACCATGGACTTCTATAGACCAATACAAGACTAGCACCAGAACTTGACCCTCCCCTCACAGAAGTGCTGAGAGTGGTATCATCTATTTCTGCCACCTCACCAGGGAAGACAACCAGAAAATCAGCAAGTCAAAAGAAACCACTGCTGGCTTCAAGAGAGACCAAAGCCTTGAAACCTGTTACATTCAATGCTGGATTTTTGGAGGGCGTCCCTTGTGATTCCCTGAAACTAACTACACATAGAGAAGGAAAACACATGGGAACTCACCAGGAAAGAGGAGGAGGAAGCACCACAGGAGACAAGACGAAGATGAAACCTTCCGCTCGAGACACACGACCTAAAGGTACACAAGGTCACCGAGGCCCAGGAATATACACCATATACTCAGCCGCCAGAACTCTGTTAGACTTCCAAAACCCCGACTCCTGAATATCTGCCAGGACATGTTCCACCCCTGATAGTGGCATATTTTCTAACACCATGGACATAAGGGGCTAGCCATAAGTTGGCTAGATGTAATAACACTGAGGACGACCAAAAAATTGATGAGCCTTGGAACAGGAGGCCAAGGAAATAGGACTCACTCATAAGGCATCCACCGAAGCAAAATCGGTCGCATAAAGCTAGTGGCAGAGAGCTGCCACCAGACACAGCATATAATACACCCCTAGAAGGACCCACCAAGTATCAATGACCAAAGAACTCACTCTGAATGCCAACA